AAACTCCTGACCTCAAGCAGTCTTCCTACCTCGGCTTCTCAAAGTGCTGGGATTACAGTTCTGAGCCAAAGTACCAAACTCTGAGTAAGCATTTGTGAATGATACATGGCAGTGTCACTATTTTCTGCTTCTGAGATGATCAAAATAGTTTACACTGATAGCACTTAGTTTCTATTTGATTGAATCTCCATAATAAAGCTTTAGGAGGAAGAGCCAGATAGTATCAAACAATAGGATTTCATAAATTAGGGTGCTTCCTGAGGATAGTACAGGAATTGAAAGAAAATTCTAGCAGCGAGTTTGCATTGCATTTTCCTTTATAGGGTGTGAGGATTTGTTGTGAACTCTTCTGGAAGGTGCTGTAGTTGGACGGAAGACCAGCTCCATGTTCAGGTTAGATTTGCCTCCATCTCTGTGACCTTGACACATTTCTTAATTTATTTTCTCACAATTCACTGAAAATGTTTGAAATCTCTCCCTTAGTAGAAACATTATGTCGCAAATTGAATGACTGTATTAGATAATGTCCTTGGGAGAAAAGCCACTATACAAATGTAGGATAGTTATTCTGAATTTCAGTCACATCACGACCACTGTTTGAATGAGGACTTCCAAATCTGTGAAATCCTTCAACTTTGATTAAGTGTTAGGTAAAATCTGTAGTCTGGTGCCAACACAACATCTTTAGTGGAGAGGACACAGTGGAAATGAGTGTGGAAGCAAGGCCACTATCAGCTCAGCTGTAATCCTAGACATGGACCATGGTGTTATTTTTGCTTTGCTGGAAAGAAATGTGAAGAAAGAAATTTCTGTGTATTTTTGCTATTTTCACTTATGTAACTTCTTATGGCCCAGTAAAAAGAAACAGTGTTTTAGTAATGTTTTGCCTTAAGGTGAACTTAGAAGTCTGGGGACACTAAATATACTGATTGCTTGTGCCATTGCTACCATTTTGGGGTTAGAGAGCTAAAAAGACAAACTACAAAGTTAGGCTTTGTCTGTAAGAGCTTGATTACATTTTGTGGTCTTTCTTTGCCCATCTGACATTTATTTTAATAACCTTTCATGGTGGGCAGGGTATAGATCTGAATCTTGGTTCTGCAGCATGACCAGTGTGTAGTATGACCTCAGCGAGATGACCTCACCTTCACTATGTGCTGATGTCTTCCCCCCAAAATAGAAATACCAGTGCCTGCCTCATCGGGCTACTGAGAGGACTGGATGCCTTGGGTGTAAGACATGGGATGTTAGGCAGATGTTCGCTTACTTCCGTTATTATTCCTGAAGGAAATGAAGGTCAAGGATAAGGTGCAGTGACAGAAATCAGTAAGTCTGAGATCACTGTTAATACGGTAGCTCTGTAACATGGGTCCTTTTGGAACGCTTCCCTAAAGTACGTTTAGAAAGACTTCCATAAAATTGGCAAGCTTAAAGAAAGTACGCTACTCTTACGAAAGTAGTCTACTTAGTGGACCACTTCTTCATCTCAGTGACTGGATGAATGGGCTGTTACTGTAATAATACACTGGGACGGAGGAGAGGCTCTGAGCGTGCCGAGACTGCCCTGTGCCTGGGGCACTGTACGGGGTCTGCTTTCTTTCTGTACTCGGCTTCCTTCTCCCACAGGGGTGCTGGGCACCCTGCGTTCACTGCTGCTGTCCCATACCGGCCCACCATGTCTACCACTTGTCTTTATTTCTTTTTAATTAATCTGTCCTGAATTTCCCTAATTTTTCCAAAAATAAGCAGCATTTCTCCTTACATGTACCACATTTGATGGAGGAGAAAGGGTGGGTTTCTAGTCATCAGATTCATTGATTTGCAGTTGTAGGCCAGATGTTGTCCTGGACTTCACAGCAAAGTTGAAGGTATCCTCAGAGGCCGCATAGCTCATAGTGATGGCAGGAGTGGGGCACGGGTAGTGACCAAGAAGGAGCAGTGTGATGTGAGCCAAAAGAGTCCAGGGCCAAGAACTGGGAACAGAGATGAGAAGTAAGGGTAAGGTGCAGTCAAAGAAAGGTTCAGCTGGGAAATCGAGGACTTAAAAGGTTTCTGGGCAGATAAGGAGGTTCTCTAAGAAGAGAGAATAAGGGCACTGCTTTGCCAAGTACAAAGAAACTACTTTGCCAAGTGCATGGTGTGTTAATTTAGGTAAATATGACTGTTCTTTTCAAAGGCAGGGGCTGTCCCCGTGAACCCATGAGCAGAGAGGACAGATTCCTTCCCCTCTTAGTCCAAATGCCCGCAGGAAAGTACGTTTCGATGACAGGGCTGTAGACAGGAATGAAGTTGCCGCCCTTCTCATCCCTGATTTGTTTGTAAACTTTCCTCCTCAGTGGGAAGAATCCTGTGCTTATTTTCCTCAAAACTAATCCATCAGATATTTGAAGCTATTGGCCACTGGTTGCCTTCTGTTGAGGGTCATTGTCATTTCTGTAACATGTAAACATTAAAATAGACAACTTTAAGGGAAAATTTTGACTTGATATAAGCTTTTTGAAATGATTAATTGTACATGTTGATACAAATATTTTTCTGAGCCATAAATTAGATTGTTTTCCAGTCATTACCAGCTATTAGATACAGTATAGGCATAGGATATTTCATTTAAGACAGATGACTTATTTTTTTTTTTTTTTTTTTTTTTTTTTGAAACAGAGCCTCAAGCTGTCCCCCTGGGCAGAGTGCCGTGACACTACAGCTCACAGCAACCTCCAACTCCTGGGCTCAAGCGAGTCTCCTGCCTCCGCCTCCCAAGTAGCTGGGACCACAGGCGCCCGCCACAACGCCCAGCTATTTTTTTTTTTTTTGGTTGCAGCCATCATTCTTGTTTGGCGGGTCCGGGCTGGGGATTCGAACCCGCCACCTTAGGTGTACGTGGCTGGCGCCTTAGCCAGTTGAGCTATAGGCACCGAGCCCAGATGACTTATTTTAATGAACTTTTTTCATTCATTGAATTTTAGATTTAGCCTCTGGATATTTTCTCTGTTGTTAGTGATGCTGTTGATGTTAATCTACTCACTAAAACTAGATAGTTTTCCTTTTGGCTAAACAGATGGTTAATCCTATTTTGTTTTCCTATTAAAGTTAGTGATGTGTTTATAATCACATGGTGGTGATAATACCACTTATTTTCTGATTTTGAATATTAATGACTTATCCTTTTAATTTTATTTATTAAGCTTTGTGGTTACAAAACAGTCCTGGTGGGGGAATACTAAAGTTGGATAAGTTGCTCAAGTTGGTTGAAAAAGAACATCTGACCTGATGACATGACTCAGTTCTTAGCAGAGAAAACAGCCTCATCAAAACAAAACTTGTGTTCTCTGGCTATTCAAGGGACTCTTGCAATTGATTTGAAGCAGAACTCAACAGGGCATCACATGCCAATTCTTTTCAGTGAAGAAGCAGTCATGTGACAAGTCTTTACAAAAATTACCACTCCCTTCACTAAAAATCTTAAACTCATTTGAAATAACTGGAAACAAAACTAGAACAGTAGTCACGACAGAGCATGAATTTGGTTTATAAATTCCATCAGTGATGACATCTTAGTGTTTGGTCATTAAGCGGAACCTTTTTAAAATCAGAACACAGCAAGTAAATCTTCACACTATTTTGTGTCTTTTCTGTAAGTCATGCTTTTTCCTTGGTGGCGTCACGAGGAGCTCTGTTTAAGGTTTTAAGGCCTGCACAGACCTGATTCCTGTTTCAAGGCTTTGTCCGAGTATCCTTGGAGTTTGGAAAGCAAATCAGTTCTAGAACTGAAAGTGAAATTTAGTTAACCAGCTTCCCTTCAGCAACATGAAATTGTCTGCTGTGAGAGGTTAAGACTTGAAATCTATGGCGTGTTCTCAGAGCTTTGTTATGGGCCTCGCTGTCCACATCCAAGCCCCAGGGTTGTAAACATGCCTTTGGTGTCTGCTGTCTACCCTGGATTACTAATTTTAAACATTGATGACATGTCTTCCACTTCCCTCAAGAGCCTCCTCTGACTGCAGTGCTGCCTCAGCTCCCAGAGGTGGAGGGTGCTTATGCTCTGGGGTCACCCATACCTGGGTCCCAGGAGGCAGTCAGGAAATAATTCCTGTAGGAAGGTGTCTCATTTAGCCAACATTCCTTTGAAAATTGTGTTTAAAAAAAAGTATTGCCTTGGAATATTAAAGTGCCGGATGCCACATAATGTGGGTCCCCACTAATACAAACTAGAAATCAATCTAGAGCCCTTTCTTAAATAGAAGCCCTTCTGTGAAATCATAATTGGAATAAGAGACTAAATGAGCTGTGTTAACTACTTACATTTAAGTTACAGAAAACCATATAAGATGACATACTCAAATGAAAATTTGATTTTAAAAATGTATCTGGAGCTTTATGAGCTGAATTGAAAAGGATAGATGATACATGATTATTTGCTTAATAATATTAAATAAAAACAAAAATCACATATGTTAATTTGTATCTGTAAAAGTTTTGAAATAATTCCTCCCTCCCAGTATTGATAACATAATAAATGTCATGTTTATATTTACCTAAATTTTCTGTGAGTGCCCCCAAATTTTAATATAGTAATTTCTAAATTCACATTAAGGCTGTTTAAAATCAAGATTACGTTCCCAGTGTTCTATGTAAGAATTTTCCCCAAGATAATATACTTTTAAAGCCATCTATTTGTTGATATAATTATGAAATGTTTTGAAATGTAATTTTAAACTGGCTTTTCATGTTGAACTGTGGTAGAAGTAACTTAGATACGAACAGCAAGTGGTAGACCCATCAATCAGGATGGGGGGGATGTGGGTCAGCGTTCCAGGGAGTGCTCAGGCAGGAGGGGTGTGGGGCTGCACGGCTGGGTGCTCTGCCTTTTCCTTGGGTTTACTGATGCCAGCCTTGTTTGTTTGTTTTTCTGGTAATGATACAAAAATGTACAAGTAGGATTATTTTGAATGACAGATTTCATCTTTATTGTTTTGCTTCATATTTATTTGCTTTATTTGCAGGTGTTGACTTTAAAATTAAAACTGTAGAGCTAAGAGGAAAGAAAATCAGATTACAGATCTGGTGAGTGGAAGAGCCTGCCCCCGGTTATGCACCGTATGTGTTTTGTAATCCGTATGCTTGTCGAGTGAAATTAACCATGAGCTGGTTCACCTCCCCTACTTTTCTTCTTCTTGGCTTATTCTAGAATGAACAGTGCTTCTTTCAAAAGGGAATTTAGAAGAGGCTGCTATGTCATACTCCACAAGAAGAATGCTACTTCAATGATAGCTAGTTTGGAACCTTTTTGCCTCTGTTTTCAGATCATTTGAGGTGATATAAAAACTGTCATCACTAAAGTAATTGCCCGAATGCCTTTTTTCCTGTTTTTGTGTGATGAGATTCAAAGAAAGTCCAACATGTTCATAACCAGCTCTGCACTGTCTGAGGCAGCCCCACCTCAGACAGTCTGGGCTGTGCCCCCTGTGGATGCTGCTGCAGGGCGGGCAGGCGCCTTCCTCCTGCACTGCTGATGCCACATGCCCTGGGTCCCCACTAATGCCTGCCGGAAATGAATCCAGGGGCCCCTTCCTGAAGAGGAGTCCTTTCAAATTATAATTGGAACGAGAGAGAAACTAGCCGTGTTAAAACTGCATTCAGCACTAACAGCTTTCTGTTAGTTGTTAACCTGTTATCAGCGCACAGGTCTCCATGGCTTATCTGGAAGAAAGGATAAGGTCTGGTCTGGTGGAGGTTTAAAAGTGGCACTGCTGAGGTCTTCTGAGAATGCCAGTGTGTTTTTAGTGATGTGGACGCAGTGTACTTAGCTTACTAACTCCTCTCAGCAGGTCATCCTCAGCTCTGAGTGTCTGTCCACCGTGTGTGTGTTTGCTTTCATCTACGTTAACCACTGCTTCATCTGTGGCATCATCGGTCACCTATGCTTGAGTGTTAGTGCCATGTCTCCATTCTCCATCCGTGTCCCTGTCTGGGGCCCAGCTGCAACCGAGCCAGCGTTGTCTGAGGTAATACCTTCATTTGGTCATCTTTGACTGTATAATCCACTTTAAGGATTTTTTTAGGGTGGGGGGGGTTGTTTTGTTCTTTTAGTTTTTTATTTTTATTTTTGACTTGATTATGAAACATTAAGTCTTATCTAAATACTTGAATAACCAAAAATAGATACTTATTATACTTTGTTTTGTGCATTGCTGCCCATTTTTTAACTTTGGAAATGCCAATAAAGTGCCTTGTACAAAAGCTGCTATTTCTAATAAGCTCTTAAGATAAAGACGATCTTTAAAAGGATTTGGGATATGTCCATCTACATACCTAGCACCTGAGTGGGAAGACTTTTTGCTGAGATTGCTCCACAGGAGTGATGTAGGTAATATTAGAGTGGGTAGACAGCTTGCCTTAATAGATAGCACCTGGTCCTGGGGACCATGGCACGCATCTTCATTAATGCACTAAGACTTCTAGCTCCACCCCCAATAGTAGAAATCTGGTTTTATATTAAAGTACATGCATATTTCCACATACCTCCTTGGAACTCTGCCCAGTAAGACTATGCTGGTGATGGCAGATACTTCTGGAATCTGACAGTGGTGCCTTTGACTGTGAGCTAAGGGCCCACCTTGTGGAATCCCTCTCTGATGAGAGAGAGTGATAATGTGGCCTCACGAAGAGCCAGGTGCTCAAAAACCACTTTTCTCTTTGATGTGAAAACATTCCAAAACATTCTTCCCCTGCTCTGCCTTCACGTCTCACCCCTTTGCCTTCATTCTCTAAATGTTTACAACTATACAGCATTGGCAAAGAATATAACTGAGGGAGGGAGATGCGTTGCACTGGGCTTACTGAAAGGCTGATTGCAAGTTTTCTGCATGGAATAGTCTTGTGCTTCGCTAAGAAGTAGAATTTGTCTTTTCCTGAAGGGAATTTTTTTTGAAACAGAGTTTCTAGCTTTTATCCTGGGTAGAATATTGTGCCATCATAGCTCACAGCAACCTCCAACTCTTGGGCTTAAGTGATCCTCTTGTCTCAGTTTTTCTATTTTTTGTAGAAACGGGGTCTCACTTTGCTCAGGTTGGTCTTGAACTCATGAGCTCAAGCAATCCACCCGCCTCGGCCTCCCAGAATGCTGGGATTATTATAGGTGTGAGCCACCACGCCCAGCCCTCCTGAAGGGAATTTCAATGGTGACTCATTTTTCACCATATGCCAGGCACTTTATCACATAATACTTAAGATTTTTATCTTCTGAAAATTTTATTCAAAAGATTAAAAACCTTTTCTTCATTATTGTTATCCAGTAGGTTAAAAGGAAGTATTGGAATCACGATTCTAATTCTTATTACTTTTTAAAAGTAATGGGTAGCTTATTTTGGAGTCAGAGCCAGTCCTTGTGCTGTTGCTGCTGTGATCTGCTCTGTGTCCGGCATGTTGCCATTGTGGCTCTTGTCGTGAGTCGAGGGGAGAGGAGCCAGAGATGTTGGAAGCAGCCCTTCAGGGAGTTGGTCGGGGCATGCTGTGTGCTCTGCCTGCTGTGATGTCCTGCACTGTCCATCCATGAGAGCATCACTGTCAGATAAAGGAGTCTTGTTAGAAGTAGTACATTTTTTTTCTTGATTTTTGGATATAGCCAAGCTAAAGAAAATACTATTTGCTATAGATCCCTAAAGTACCAAAAGCCACAGGGGTTCTTGGTATGTTTTTGTGTCACACTTTATGTCACTGTCATGTTTTTCATTTCTTTGGTTATCTATAGTCAGAAAAAGGACCATTTTCCTCTTCTCTGTACTTTGTATTTCTGCACGAATGTGCCTCTAAGAATTTTATGTGGCTAAAATACAACATGTTGACTAAGGTACATAATTTCATGCATTTTTATCCCAGCAATTATCCTGGAAATTACTCATAGTGAACTAGTTGTCATTGTGTCAACTATGACACAAGTCCAGCTTCAATGGACTTGAAGCTGTGAAATTGGTCTTACCTTTAGGCAAACACAGGATTGAAGTGCTTCATATAAGGGCCCCTTGTTCTGTCTGCTGGACCAGTCTTCACTATTAGGGGCTTTTGTTTTAACTGGTGCTTTTAGGTTGCCATCTTTCCTTTCATTCTGTGCTTGGAAAAGGGGTACCATTTCATACCCTGAAATTGGTTTATGCCCTGAAAATTAGCAATTGCACTATTTAAATGGACACATTAAGTATATTTGAATTGTCTAAGCATTGTTGTGTTACCAAACTAGAAAAACAAAATTGCAGGAAGTTTTCAATTTGTAACAAAAGCAAAGAGAGAACTCAGAAAAAAATCACATGCTAACTATAGTAAACGATGATTTTATCTGACCTTGAAAAACTATAAATCTCTAGAAATTAGTTTTTTATCATTACTGAAAGATTTAAGTGATTGGGAATGAAGAAGACAAGGTGAAGAGGATTCCACTGCTTAATAGAAAGGTGGGGCCATGAGAAGCGCATTGATATTTGGAAAATGGAGATTTATGTGGGATTTTTATGTTGCAGGCACATAGTGGGTATTCATTAAATACTTGTTCAATAGATTCAACATTTCATTTACTCTGTTCTTCAAACATACATGATAGCAGATAATTTAGTGAGGAGAGAAAGTCATTGAGGCAGAGGCACTTTAGAGAAGAATAGAAAATAAAAACTTTGTCAGCCTAAATGTTTTGGGAATGTGGAATATTCTCTCAAAGGAATATGGTTTTCTACCTCCAGTTTTTAGAGCCAAGCCCCCCCAAAATGGAATTTGAGTAATGGTCTAAGATGGGGGGTGGTGGACCAGTTAATGTTTCCTCACTGGGATTTTTGTAAACTAAACTTACTCATTTATTTATATTAGTATGATTGCCCTGGAGTTTGCATTTTGAGGTTTCTATCATCATATCTGATTTACAGTCAGCAAAGACAGCAAACTGTAATGGCAGGCGTCTTAATGTTTCTAAGATTTCTAAGTATGTTATTCATGCAACACTTTTAAAAATTACTCCAAAAATGCTTTTTACTGTCCCTATTCTTTGATTTCTTTTTATTTATTTATTTATTTAGAGACAGTCTTGCTTTCTTGCCCTTGTTAGAGTGCTGTGGTGTTGTACCTCAAGCTCTTAGGCTTAAGCAATTCTCTTGCCTCAGCCTTCAGAGTAGCTGAGACTATAGGCACCTGCCCCAATGCCCAGCTATTTTTAGAGATGGGGTCTTGCTCTGGCTCAGGCTGGTCTCAAACCTGTGGGCTCAGGCAATCTACCTGCATTGGCCTCCCAGATTGCTAGGATTACAGGAGATTCTTTTTATTAAAAGTTCTATTGAGGGAGGAGGCAAGATGGCCAACTGGAGCCAGCTTTCCACAGAGGCTCCCATCCAGAAGGAGAGTTAAAGGACAGAAGTTTAGTAAGTAAGCTGATGGTTTGGAGCTGAGCCAAGAGGGAAGGTTGAAAAGCACACATCACCCCTGCTCAGGTGATCTGCAACCCCAAGGAAATAAACAATAGGTACAAAACCCATCGCCAAGTGTATGGGAGTCCCCTCCCCCATGAGAACGGCTCACAGTATACTTTCCACAAGCAAGCAAGCAGAGTTCAGATCTCCTCCTATTTTATCCCATAGGCAAGACCCTCTAAAAACCAGAACTCCTTCCCCATAGAGGACCCACTAGTGTGCCATGGCACTCTCCTGCCAGGCATAAAACTGAACATAGACTCTACCCACAATTCTGAACTCCCAGCACTCCCCTCCGCTCTCACCCCAAGGTCTGGAAGCCTGTCCCCCATGGAGTCCAGGTTTGTGGGCATTTTCTCAAAGTGTGGATGGGGCTTGGGCTGTTATAGGTCTGTACTGATTCTGTGGCACGGGTGTAGAGCAGGGACTGTGGAGTGAGGGAGCCACATGGAAGAGGGTGAAGCTGTGCCCTGTGGCGCAGTGCAGCAGTGGCTGTGGCAGCAGTGAAAACAGTATAGCTCACACCCCTGGGGATATTTTGGAGAAACACTTCCTGCCTCTCTTAGCAACCACAGGGAGCCGGACCTCTACTCTGGTGGCAGCCACTGGCAGAACAGA